CACAGAAATACGTTGAATTAAGATAATATAGGGTTTTGGGGGTCATCTGGTAGAGCAGCCTATACCCTCAAGTCTGCTAAAGAAACTCCAAACTATTTCTCTACAAAGTAACTTACAGATCCCAGAAGTGTCCCCAACTGACTGTGGGAGGTAAAACTGTCCTGTGGAGGGGCAGCCACCCAGGGCGCCAGTGCATTCTGACAAGGGACCGAGAAGTCTGCTCTCAAGATGGACACCTGTCATAAACCCATCCTGCCCAGGATAATTCACTTTTTTCTCTTGTTCCAATCACCTAACTAACCCGGACAAAAGGAAAGCAAGGGCCAACGTGAAATCAAATAATAAACACTCTCTACATACAGCATGATTTAGTCATTTTAAATATAATTGCTTATGTAATGCTCTCAACAAGCAAGTGAGGCAGATGCCATCAATCATTATTTCGTAGACAGGGATCTGAAGTCCAGAGAATTTAGGAAAACTGTGTAAGGCACAGGTAGTCTCGCCCCTGAGCTCAAGCTCTTAATAACTAAGCTGTGCTGCCACTCTAAAATGCCCGGGAGAGGTTTATGGGGGGTATTAGCTTAAGCTAGAAGAATCAGCAACCTTTTGACTACGAATTGGAGAAAAATATGAGCATTGCGCAAAAAAAGAAACGATTCAGAGATTTAGGAGCAGCTATTCAGGAGGCTGAGGCAAGAGGATCACTTGAGCCCAGGAGTTTGAGGCCAATCTGAACAAGATAGGAAGAACCCATCCCTAAACATACATACCTATATAACTCAAGGTGACACAAGTATTTCTATGATAGTGAATACAATAAAACTGAACCATTGGGTTAGTGTTGGCAATTGTTAACTCAGAATAGTGCTACTCAAAGTGTGGTCCATGAACAGGCTCGAATTGTTTGTTGCTGATGCACTGTTAGACAAGAAGCCAGTGCCAGGATATAAACTAACTATATCACTAAGTACCATGGTTGTTTCTGCTAAAATTACATTCTCAACTTTAACAGGACTTTCTTGCCGAAGCAAGTAGTGCATTGACTCACATTCTGGCGCATTCTCTTTGCCTTCTCATGGGTCAGTACTTAGAAACAATTGAGGGGACATTGCTGTAACAAGGAATTTCAAAAATATATTGAGTAAATAAGATGGAAATGTATTTCTCCATCACATTCCTGTGCAAAAATGGGCAGGAAGTCCAGGAGATATAGATAGCTCTGCTCCACAGGGTCATACAGAGCCTCAGGAAGGCAGGCTCTTCAAGATGTGGCTTTTACTTCTGAGTGCAATGCACATGCTGTGATCGCAGCAGTTTTACAGCTGGAGGTAAGTTGGAAACAGGAAATACAAGGAGGGTGACTTTATCTTTAAGAGTATAGTTAAGGACTTAAGTATACTTTTGGTTCACTCTCCATTGGACTGAAATTATTAAATGAAGAAAGCTAGATTCAAGAGAGACTGTAAAATTTGACCTCTACCTGAGAATCTGTATCCTAAGCAAAACAGAGTCTGCTCCATTTTTAACTGAAAAAAAATAGAGAATAGTTAAGCCTTCTGTACCACAGTGATAAATATGATTAGAGAGTTAGGCTAAAACTAGACTATAGAGGATTTGAGATTTAATACTAAAGAAAAAGATTGCAGAAAATCGAGACACCGGTTAAAATAAAATTTCAGTTATGTAAAATAAATAAGGAATATTGAGTTTACTGGCTTGTCATTAACTCTGTTTTGTCACCTTTTCTGTAGATGAATTCATATAAAAATTCAAGATCTATAACTTAATCTCCTTTCCAAGGCAAATTCCAATATAACGCAGTTGTCTTTATACAATGCTGGTCTTTCATAGTGCACTTCACTCTTGTTCCAGTGGGGTCTGGGATAGAAAACGCATTTGGATCAAGTGCATCTTTTAATTTCATAGAGTACGAATGATCAGTGACATTGCTGTGTTTTCTAGAAGCAGAGTCTGGGCTAGGAATTCTGCTGCAAATGATTTATTGAAGAAATGTTTTCAGGGAAAACCTATAAGGGGAAACATGGGGCAGGATGTGGTTTCTGGTGAAGTCTAGCCTTGATCTGACCTTAAGGGAGAGAGTTGGTGACACGGACACATTGTTTCCCCTTGAGGCAAGTAGGTAGGTGTTTTGCAACCCTGCATCAGTCTGCCATTGGGGATGGGCTGCCCCCTGAGAGACAGGAGGGGGTTTGGAAGTGTAATTTGCCAGTCAGGTGACTCCTAGTAGCGAAGGGCAATGCTCAAGTCTCCCGAGCTGGGGACCATTAGCAGCTGGCACAACTGGGGCTGGGGGAGGGGTTGCACTCGCCTGGAAAGAGGATGTTTTCAGTGGAGAAAAGAGCATCTACTTCAGTCCACTCTGCATATACTCGGCTTCACTTGTTTCTTGTGTTATGTTCACACCTCTAGACAGAGTTTTTCCAGGATTCTGTGAATATAATTCCTAGAGAAACTTACAGCAGGAGGTTTGTCGTGAGAAACTGTAACTCAATTACTGTGTTTGGTCCCAAAGCTTAAACCAATGCTTATTTTCTCCGCCTTGTCTCCTCTTCTATTTTCCCCCACCTGTGGCTAGCACTTCTTCTGGTCTCTGGCTTACCTAGTAGATCCAGTAGTCTCAGGATCAGATGCAGTAGCAGTGGCTATAGTTTCCACCTATATGTTTCTACAGAAATTATGGCAGAGAAAGGCTGTGCTTAAATAAGACAAGTTATTAAGATAACTTAGTTTGTGAAGCAAAAAGAACACTGTGGTAGAATGTTCTGGCACCCCATCCAGCATTTGCCAGGCAGTGGTTGTTGTACTTTCCCATTTACAGTTAAAACTGGGTTGGAAGTACCAACAAGTAACTTAGTGGATTTTTTTTTTTTTTTTTTTTTTGAGACAGAGTCTCACTTTGTTGCCCAGGCTAGAGTGAGTGCCATGGCGTCAGCCAAGCTCACAGCAACCTCAAACTCCTGGACTCAAGCAATCCTGCTGCCTCAGCCTCCCGAGTAGCTGGGACTATAGGCATGCACCACCATGCCCAGCTAATTTTTTTCTATATATATTAGTTGGCCAATTAATTTCTTTCTATTTATAGTAGAGACAGGTCTCGCTCTTGCTCAGGCTGGTTTCGAACTCGTGACTTTGAGCAATCCGCCCACCTCGACCTCCCAAAGTGCTAGGTTTTTTTTTTGAATGCCAAAGATATTTTTCCCTGTTGTCATTAGATAGTAGCTATTCTACTTCCTCACAATTAATTTAAAAAAATATTTTTTGCATATATATTTACAAATATGTTAAAATAATATTTTGAGAAAACTATATTTAAATAATATTTTTCTGTTTTTTTAGTACCTTTCACCCTCTTTTTCTTAAAAAGAAAATCCTCAAAGCAGTAACAGAAGAGACACAACAAATCACATAATGAAAGTTCAAATGAAATAGAGGGTTTAATTTTGGCATTCTTTAATTGAATTTTGGGAGTTCAACTGTGGTAAACATTTCTTGATGGATATCCTATTTTTTTAATTGGATAAACATATTCTGTTAGAATGGAATGATATTAAGAAGTTTATGATTTTGCAGCACCTATATTTGGCAAATTGGTCAAAAGAATCATAATTTAAAAAAACTCATTTGATAAGTGTTATCTTAAAATATTTGTCAGAGACAGATACTCTGAATGGAAAATAGCTGTGAAAGTATTTAGTCTCTACTATTTAGACATTTCATATGGAAAAATATTAGAATTGAAAATAAGCTTCTCAACCCTATAGAGAAAATATTTCCCCAGTTAAAAATATAATGGTCTATAGAGAAGAGTTATTTGAAAATGCCAACACTTTCAAATTTATTAACCACAAAATGCAAGTTTGAGAGTGGTCGCAGACAATTTGATGGAAAAGTAAAACTTAATAAAGTCATATTGAAAACAATCATTCTTTAGAAGAACTTTGGTGACATGGTATTATAGAACGATGTGTTTAATGAACTAATAAAAGTACATAAATATGAGCCAAAAATGATTTTTCATCTTATTTCATTTTTAATATTTGAATAATAAATATAAAAACAGAATTGTTTTAATGCCCAGGTATATGTGTTTTTCAAAAAGAACTTTATTTTTGAAAATAGTTTTTGAATATAATTATTGCATAGATCAGTACTATAAAAAAACCAATTTGGCAGTTAATAAATATTTTTAAAATTACCTCATTTTCATTTTAAAGACCTTTTTAATTTTCAAAAGTGTCATAATAATAAATTTGAGTCTGTCAAATGGAATAGAATGGAATAGTGCATGGAGCAGGAGGTGAAGTATGGTGGGATAAGATTGGATCAACGGACACCTTGAGTATTTTGGGTTAGAAGTTTTCTCATTATCACTGTACAGAAATGACACATGCATAACATAGAATAGAGGTCTAGAGCTTAGGTGGGAGGTAGAAGCTACAAATATTGATGTTAATGCTATCAGCTTACGGGGTGTGGCAGAACTCTGGGACTAGCTGGTTAAGGAAGAGAATAGCACACAGATTGAAACGAAAAGGAAAAATGGGCAAAGTCTAAAGTCTAAGGATGGCATTTCAGCCTCTGAAGAAAAAAATAGGGACTATTAGAGCAGAGCACAGATATATATGAAACTATAGTCAAACCAGGTTAAATCAAGTTAAGGCCTTTGATATGCAGACCTAAAATATAAACCCACAAGTAGAGTAGTATCTCAGGGATACTGCTTGGAGAACATAGATAGCCAAAGAGCAAAAAGTGGTAACAGCAGGACCGACTTGCTGCTGAGCTCCAACCATGTGGTAAGGAAGGTGCTAGTCACTTAATAAGGGAATGATTTGGAAATCAGGAAACCAGAGCAGGGTCTAACTCCTAGCTCTAGGGTATCAGACGAGAATCTGATGCCACGTTTTGAACAATTGTTAAGGAGCAGAGCCGGGCATTCACTACACAGTAAGATTCCTTGTTCTTCCTTCTTGCAGAATCCGTGTGACGACAAACGACACAAAGACATCTGGTCCAGAGACAAAACTTGTGACCACTTACCAAAATTCCTGGTAATCGGGCCACAAAAAACAGGTAATAATAGCCAATTGTGCTATTTATACTCTTTGTAAAAATGATTTTATGAAATACATTGCTCTGTGGCATTATTGAATTAGGTTTTGCCTTAGTGAAATATTTAGATATTTAGTTCATTACTTGCACTACCATTCACACCCCATGCATCACCGTCACACATGGACCTCAAGGGGACCCAACCGTCCCCATTAATCAGACTTAGGCACTACATTCTTCAACTGTAGATTTTAAACCTGTAGAACATACATGCCACGTTTTTGAAAATGTTGAACTTATGTGTCGCAAAAAGCCACTTTTTGTGGCTTTCCCTAATCAATTCTGAATTAAGTTACTAAAACAGGTTTTGGCCTGATTCGAACTATTTTGCACAGCACATCAGCCCGGAATTGATTTTTTTTTTTTTCTTGGAGCCACTGCCATTATTACTTTCGAATATTTTACATGTGTGGGTTGCTCTTTAAAATTAATCATTAGATTCGAATTTATTTTCTGAGTCACTTGAAGTTCATCAGGCATTTTTTGCCTTGGTATTTTCGCATGCTCTGAAGGACAACTCTGTAAGAATGTGGAGAAACAGCGTGAAAGTATTTCACCAATGAGATGACACTTTCAATTAGAATATTTTATACTTTCTTCAGTAGGTGACAGTTTTATACACTTTGTTCATGTCCTGATTAATTAAAGTTTTTATTGAGTTGCTGTGTTTTGAATTCTCTACTTTGACAAGAAGCATTTTCAGTAGTGAGTGCACAAACCATAGCACAAAACAAACAGTCTCAATAAACAAGCCTGGCCCAGATGAAGATATTTGTAACACAAGTAAGTAGATCATTTTAAAGGTTGTGGGCAAAATTTCCAGACTATTAGATATTGGTTGTTTTAATCTTTTCTTCATCTAGGACTATAAATTGTATTACAACAGTAAGTTAACACACGTGCGGGGAGGAGAGAAAAAGCAGCACAGGCTTGTGGATATATCACTTTTGTTGTTGTTGTTTAAAATGGGCATTAATTTTCCACCTACTCCTTTACAGCAGTGCTAACTCTGGAATGACTACTAAAGAAATAAAACATCCCTGTGTTATAAAATTACGATAAAAATTTAATTTAAAGACATATCCTCTATCATTTGTCATTGGATACTATTATTTTTTAGTTCTGCTAGAAAATTGCAGATTATTAACTATAAATCTATTTTTTCTCCCTGTTTGATTTTACAAAGACAATAAGTTAGACCTTTAGATGTTAATGTTTGACCTACCACTGTGGGAATGATAAAACTTTTAGCTGGTTTCGGCTTTCCCAAGACAAACAAACAAATAAGAAGTTAAAACAAAGAAAGTGGAGGATGATAATATTTTATAGGCTCCGAAAATCTTATGCTAATGTGAAAGTGATTATAATAATTCTTAAAATCCAATCATAGAAGTCTGAAGTCAGATTTGTTGTTGTTTGTTGCTTCAGTTGGCAAAACTCCCACTGCTGTCAGAGACTTAAATTAGCTGGAGGTGGGGTCACAGATAAATGCAAAGAATCTGCTGTTATATGTCAAGTTGCCTTTGAACAACTTAAATGCGGGGCATGCATCCTTTATAACAAATATGAGATAGGAAAGTTGTCCTCAAACTCCTGTTTACTCAGTTGTTGTGAGGAGAGAATGGAAGGATGCCATGTTCCACTTGGCCACTTGTTGAACCCTGGAAGGGATTCCTGGCTGCAGGAGGGTCAGGGAAAGATGGCCGGCAAAGGACAGATTGGCAGAGAGCATGTGAGCTCTGGACGTGAAAGTTCAAAGGTCAAAGTTCAAACTGCAATCCTCTGCAATCCTTTGGACAGCTGTGCATCTTTCATCATTCAGAGTCAAATTTTGGTTTTACCAGCATAGAAGAAGGTTTCTAATAGGGTTCAATTTAGCACAATAATTCTAAGAGCATAATTCACCAGCCTTAAGTCTTTCAGAAGATTAGTCTTCGCATTGTCAATATTAATTTATCATGATTTAGCTGGCTTTCTCTGGTACATCAAAACTAAGGAGAAGTGGATCATATAGAAAACAGAATAGTATTAGGGTATCACAAAGTATAAAGCCTTTTCTTCTTATTCCAAAAAATATTTATATCGAAGAAATTAAATAAAAATGAATGTTAAGGATGGATAAAAAACATAGGTGATAATTTTAAAAATATATACATAAATTTTGATGTTAGTGGGCCCAGAATTTATGACTGATTATATGACTATCAGCACCTCAGGGATATTAAACTATCAATTTCCTAGCTGTCTTATGAGTCTCAAAAACCTCACATCTCTCTCTTTCCCTCTCTCATGTTTCATTCTTGTCATGACTTAAAAATTTTTATGTAAGTCTCATCTTAGAAAGTGTTTTAGAAAGAATCCCTCTGGATTCCATGTTTTCTTCCAGCCACTACTCTATCGCTAATTCATTTCTTATTTCTTGAACATTTTTGTTTCTCTTCTCACATTTTCTCCTTTTGGAACTCCTATTGTTTTTAGAAGCAAATCATATCAGTTTTTCAAGACTCCTCTCATCCCTCGTAACTATCACATCTGTATTTTTCACTGTGTTTGAGATGTTTCTTCTACCTAGTCTTCAGGCCTCTCTAATTTAGTTGTTAACCAGTTTAGTATCCTTTAGGTTTTTTTTAATTGTGTTTGAATGATTTAATTTCATATTTATTATTTCTTAAAAGTCTTTTTAAATTTGGAATTAAATCTCCTTAAAGGCATTTATTAATTTTTGCCATCCTATTTCATTAGGAGTCCCCCATTCTAGAGGTTGTAATGTATCTTCCATCCAGGGTGGTTGATTCTTACAGATCTGTTGTTTCTTTCTTTTCTTTTCTTTTTTTGAGTAGATGAGTCTCACTCTGTTGCCCAGGCTAGAGTGAGTGCCGTGGCGTCCGCCTAGCTCACAGCAACCTCAAACTCCTAGGCTCAAGCGATCCTCCTGCCTCAGCCTCCTGAGTAGCTGGGATTACAGGCATGTGCCACCATGCCCAGCTAATTTTTTCTCTATATATTAGTTGGCCAATTAATTTATTTCTATTTTTAGTAGAGATCGGGTCTCCCTCTTGCTCAGGCTGGTTTTGAACTCCTGACCTCAAGTAATCCACCCACCTCAGCCTCCCAGAGTGCTAGGATTACAGGCATGAGCCACTGCACCCAGCCTCTTTCTTTTAGCTATTCATACCTCTTGCTGGTCATGTGAGGATTTAACCAGGTGTCGATGTCATTTATACTGGAAGCACAGTAGCCTTTGCTCATATGAGCTTACAGAATATGAGCCCAAAGTGCCAGTTGTCTGCTGGCCTTCTCGACTTCCAGATGCTCGGGCTGCAGTGGTTACCACTCTGCCAGCTACCTGCGTAGCTAATCTCGATTCTCCAAGGGCTAGGGCATCTAACAACCCTCCTCAGTCCAACGTGTCACAACAGGGTTGACTTTTTCAAGAAAAGGAGCCTTTATTAACAGCTCATAAGAGAGCTATGAAGACCCAGTCACTGTGTGAGTCCCTTCTGCTGTAGCTCGCAGTCTCTGGCTTGGCTCTGAGGGAAATAAGGTTCTGGGATGACACCTGAGACTCTGGAGATGTGTGTGCACGAGTGGTTTTGTCAGCTAGACTGTCCAGCCTAGTGCCTGTGTCACCAAACTGGATTGCTCTATTTTGCGGGGGAAGACATTCAAGTGGCCATCTTTCTACAATCCTGCCTTCTTCTTTCAACCTGCGTTAACACTTGCGTTTTTGTTTGTTTGTTGTTGTTTTTTTGAGACAGAGTCTCCCTTTGTTGCCCAGGCTAGAGTGAGTGCCATGGCGTCAGCCTAGCTCACAGCAACCTCAACTCCTGGACTCAAGCGATCCTCCTGCCTCAGCCTCCCGAGTAGCTGGGACTACAGCCATGTGCCACCATGCCTGGCTAATTTTTTCTATATATATTAGTTGGCCAATTAATTTCTTTCTATTTATAGTAGAGACGGGGTCTCGCTCTTGCTCAGGCTGGTTTCGAACTCCTGACCTTGAGCAATCCGCCTGCCTCGGCCTCCCAGAGTGCTAGGATTACAGGCATGAGCCATTGCGCCCGGCCAACACTTACGTTTCTAAGGCAAGTCTTAGAACATACATCCCCCGGAAGCCCTCACTGATCTCTCTGGTCCAAATCACCTATTTTCTCATATATTGAAAGAGCACTGTGGTCTTCTCTCATTACAACACCTGTCTCACTCTGTCCCAATTACCTGTGGACTTGACCCTAAGTCCACACATGGCCTTTAAGTTAATTGAGGGCAGCAAATGTGTTTTTCTTATCAAGAGTTATACTTTAGGACCATACTCAGAGTAACATACCAACCTCTTTTGCATAGTCTGATTTAATTTATGTGATTTTCATTATAAATCAAAGACCCACAAGGTTCGGGTACCGCACCGGATGGTAGAGGAAGAGATGGGGCACCTGTGACCTTCGTGCTTTAGCCACTCACCTGGTTCCAGAAGGGAAATTGAACTGCATGATTTCTAAAGTGCTACCCTAGCTGGGCCATCAGTCTGTTCATTTTGGCTACATGCTAATATCAAATCAGGTGTTTAGGGCACTAGAATCACGAAGACTAATAAAAGATCACTTAGGTTGTTGCCACATGGAATGTGCCTAAGTGATTTTAAGGAAATCATTTTGACACTGGAAAGAGTGGGTTATTTGAATATTACTTTTTGAGTAAAAATTATGCTAAAATACTATTTTGTCTCTTCTTTTGCTGCCATATCACCTTTTATCTTTTTTGTAATAGGGACAACTGCACTTTATTTATTTCTTCTTATGCACCCTTCCATCATCGGCAATCTCCCCAGCCCAAAAACATTTGAAGAGGTTCAATTCTTTAATGGCAACAACTATCACAAGGGAATTGACTGGTAAGGAAAATAACAAAAAATAAATTCCATTATTAACACATGCTCAATCACTGCAGAGCAATTATAGATGTATGCATGGCATCTGCATAATTATAGAATAAATTTGTTATGCTCAATTCTACCACAGTGAATTAGAAATTAATTTATAATGATGATATGTTTAATCAGTGTTGCCTATAATTTGATTTGGACAGTGCAATAATGATAATATTTTTCTGCTAAATTAAGATGATTGAATAAAGAACATTATGGGATATATTTCATCAGAATTATTCATAAGGATATTTAAAAGTCTTTTAAAGTATTATTTTACTGTGCCTAAATCTTTTTTTTTAACTGTACACATAATTTGTCTTCACAATGATGCTTGAGGAAACGAATAAATCAGTAGCTTGTTTCATTTTATACTCTATGACAAGTTGTCTTCATTAACCACATAAACTATATATGTTGTAGTATAACACAGGCTGATATTTGTCATGCAAATAATAACAGAGCATTTCCAAAACCGTATCAATTCTAGTAACACACATGCATAAAATAAATATTAATTAGCACTTGATAAATGATGGAAAAAATTTAAATCACAATATTTCCCATAAACTAAAATAGAATAAACCTGATACTGGAAATGATCTTCGATCCAGGTGATGTTTTTCTAGTTCTATCTTGGTTGTCCAAGAAAATATGGTTCTGAATTTAATTGCCAGCTCCTGGGTATATAAAGCAAATCTCACCCAAGGAAAATTACCCTCAATGCACACACTTGTAGCAAGTAACTTTGTGTGTCATGATCACACAGGAACCTGTGCTCAGTGAGATGCTCCTTCGTTTTAGAAGCAGCTGGGATTACATTTGGGCGGGGCTGATAGCAGTGAACAGATCAGGCTTCCCATCATGAGTAGAGTATGTGTCCACTCTTTATCTAGAGTACTAACTATCCAACCTCCCTTTTGAAAGGCTCAGCGCGGTTTGGAATTGCATGCGAATTACTAAAAGCAGAACAGTAATTTTCTCTGATCCACGAGCTCAAATGGAACACAAATTGTTAAGCAGGAATATAGATGAGACTCTTCACCACTCCACATTTGGGAAACATAATAACAAGTGTCAAAGAGGAAAATAAGTGTCTTATATGAATTCTTAATTGCTCTCATTATTTATTTCTAGAACATTTGAGGGTTAGAGAAGTGATGAGCTGTAAGGAGGGTTACACACATAATTAAAGGCTTGCACTGAATTAACCTCAGAACATATTGATTCCATAATCCACACGCTGAGGAACATCCCAGCAGCATATGGAGGAGTGAACCCACTCAGGCACCGCGGGAGCAACTGGCAGGAAATATCCGCTTAATTACTCGAGATAGACCATAATGTGTCCACGTTGCTGCTTATTGCACACATTATGCAGAAGAAGGAGGAGAACAACTATGCCCCCAAAATGTTTGGTGTTTTATAGCTATTCCAATTCGCACATCTTTCTGTCTTGTGAACTTTCATCTCACCTTACAGAATTTCTGCTTTCAAATTTGTAAACATAATTTACTATTTTAGAACACCTAAGAAAATGGTGGAATCTGCTGCTAGCCAGGGGCAAACTTAATATTTCTGGATTTGCCTTTTGATAGCACAGAACATCAGTCCAGATCGGCAGTATTTTCTTTTTGTTCCTTATCAATCTACCTATTTAATCTCACTTCTTCCCCTGTCCAAAATGGGTCATTAGAAAAGTCATATTTTGGATTGTTTTCATATTCAAAGTGTATAGAATATCCGCTATTTAGACTATTATAGCACAATAACTAGAAATTGATATAAATGAATATAAAAATTTTCAACTTATTTCAGGTTCAGAGTATGGCAAGAAAAAAAAAATCTCAAAAACTCAGATTAATTAATTGTCTTTCTCTGTCTTCAGGTACATGGACTTTTTCCCTACGCCATCCAACATTACAAGTGACTTCCTTTTTGAAAAGAGTGCTAATTACTTCCATTCAGAAGAAGCTCCCAAGAGAGCTGCATCTCTGGTCCCCAAAGCCAAGATCATCACCATCCTCATTGACCCCTCAGACAGGGCATACTCTTGGTACCAGGTATGAGCAGTAAAAAGTACTGCCAAAAGCATTTAGTGGTAGCTTGAATGTAGACAATGATGAATCATCAAAATAGAGCCCGGGGCCGGGCGCTGTGGCTCACGCCTGTAATCCTAGCTCTTGGGAGGCCGAGGCGGGCGGATTGCTCAAGGTCAGGAGTTCAAAACCAGCCTGAGCAAGAGCGAGACCCCGTCTCTACTATAAATAGAAAGAAATTAATTGGCCAACTGATATATATATATATAATTAGCCGGGCATGGTGGCGCATGCCTGTAGTCCCAGCTACTCGGGAGGCTGAGGCAGAAGGATCACTGGAGCCCAGGAGTTTGAGGTTGCTGTGAGCTAGGCTGACGCCACGGCACTCACTCTAGCCTGGACAACAAAGCGAGACTCTGTCTCAAAAAAAAAAAAAATAGAGCCCGGAAACATTGAAGAGTCAAATGTAAAAATATCTAACCTCCCCACACCCAAAATTATGAGAAATAAGAGCTGAATATTTAACTCATATCAAGTTGGGCAAGGACTTTCAAGCATAAAATAATAGGAAAAAAAATCAAAGAAAGATTAGATTGCCTAAATCATGTAAAATATTGGTCTATCAAAAATTAACAAAATTCTAAGTCAGTACCTAGGGCATCTTTAACAGGTACATGATAAAGGACTTACTTAGTTCCTTTATTTTATAAAACATTCCTCTGAACTGGTAATAAATAAATAAATAAAGTATCATAGTAGAAAAATGAGCAAAAGGCACAGCTAAACATTTACACACACACACACACACACACACACACACACAGTGCAATTGTTCAATAATTATGTGAAAAATAATCAACCCATTTAAGAGTCAACAAAATACAAATTCAAACAACACTCCTTTTTAATATCTCAACAAAGATTGTGATATTTTTCTATCACACTCCTGGGCTGGCAAGAGCGTGGTGAGAAAGGTTCGCAATGATTCCAATAAAAGGATACATCGGGGATATTTTCTGAAAGCTGATTTGGCAATATTTACCAAGAGGTATGGAAAGATCCTTTGGTGCTGTAGTTCTTCCTCTGGAATTGATCCTAAGGAAAACTTCCAAGAGATAGGCATATATTTGAAGATATTGCATCATTATCTATAAAAATAATAACAAAAGGAAAAGCAAATACCCAACAGTATAGATTTGTGTCACACTGACATGAAATATTCTCCAGCGACGTTAAACTATGGTTTTAATCAATAAAATGATAATTCAAACATTGTGTTTATTCTAATGTGTGGATAATTTTTTTTTTTTTTGAAGACAGAGTCTCACTTTGTTGCCCGAGCTAGAGTGCTGTGGCATCAGCCTAGCTCACAGCAACCTCAAACTCCTGGGCTTAAGCAATTAATCAAATGATAATAAAGATAACCATTAGACATTGTGAATGTGCTGTGAGGAAGTATGTAAAGGTGCTCTGAAGGCAATCTTTAGGGAAATAAACTTTTAAAACTTAAGGAAGAGTAGATGTTAATTGAATGAGGGTAGAAGGAAAGTGGTGGAAAGGAGATAGTACGTGTAAATTACATTAGGTATAAAGAACCATAGCACATTTTAAAAAGCTAAAAGGAATTCCATGTGGCTGTCTGGAAAACCCCAGGTGGAAACCTGCAGGAGATGAAGCTGACAGATAAATGGGGGCTAGAACCATGTGGTTGCCATTTTTTGAGCAACTGAGAGCCTTTGAAAAATGATCATCAGGGTATGACTACCAGATTTTCTACTGGAAAATATTATATTATCTACTGTGTGAAGAATGGATTGGGGCAAAGGCAATATATGTAACCCAAACATTTGTACCCCTGTAATATGCCAAAATAAATGATAATAAATAAAAGGGAATTTTTAAAGGATATAGTAAAATAGCAAGCAATTTTTATGTTTTTCTTCCTTTTTTTCCTGACTTTTCAAACTTTCTTCAATAAATATGTACTAGTGCAAACAAATACTGGTGGACAGAAAAATACAACATTGCAAATTGGATTGCAAGTGGTTGGGGATCCATATGGGATGTAGATTAGAAGTAAGATTCATAAATTACCATCAGAATCCATGAGTCAGTATTTCCCATCAGACACAAGAATATATCTTTCTCACTTCACAGAACTCATACTGTAAATCATAATAAACTTATTTTTTTTTAAATTGTGCCCAAAGCATTAAGATGTTAAGCCTTAATTAAAAGTTTTGAATTCAAATACTTGGGGGAAATGCACATTTTTCTAGCAGAAAGCATAGGCACTTCTTAGAGCAGATTTAAATGAATCATTTTCTTTCACATAGATTAAACCATTGAAATAAATGAGAATCTTTATGATGTGGGCACTTCCTTGTGCCTGCTTCTTCCAATAAATTCATTGAACATACATATAAGTCTGAAAGGAATTATTTTTTCTGATAATACTTTTTATGGCTGTATTGCTGAGAGTAGGGCCCCAAACTGCTCCACATTTCAAAATAATGTAGCCTATTACTTAGCTAGTTCTGTCTGTTCAGTAAATACCATAAATCCAAAACTCGGCAGGTGTAATTCAGAAACTCCTACAAATGTCACCTGCCACTGTAATTTCTACCCCACATTTTTATAATGGACCTCACAGAGGAACTATAGTGCTATTTTTTCCATAAAATATGTGCCTTTGTGGCCTCCTGGTCATATTTTTATGTTAATCTATTTAGTTGCAGAAATATAAAGAAAAGTTGGTTCTAAAGTGGTGTAACTCGATATAGGACAGATTAAGTGAAATTTCATGTTATCACTGCTTAAAATAGAAATTTTAGAATGACTATATTACATATACAGATAGTATGTTTATCATGATTCAAGTTTATAATTTCTACACATTTTGCTAATTAATTGAATTATAGAACCTCTATATATGCAACATAACACATATATAAGGATGTCAATAAATATACCATAATGAGAACACTTCAAAAGTTTCTGCCACTTCCTAATTACTCTTTTAGCCATTCACCACTTCCTAATCATCTTTCCTTTTCTGGTTATTTTAATTTTTAACTCACACGTAGTGCCTGCTTCTGTCCCTCACCTTGTACTAGATTTTCTTCAAGTTCACTTTTCGATTTCTCCCAGCACTTAGCTCCACATATTCATCCACCTTCACTCAAACTTACCTAAGGTGATAAAGTTCTCTTAGTTTCCATATGCGTTTGGTATTTTTTCCCCAATTATCAAAATCTTTCTTACTACCTTTTAGCTCAAAAGCTTCAGCTATTAAAAAAGACTCCTTCATCTTCGAGTCAGAATTAATCACTTATTGGTCTTGCTGTCACAGCAAGTAACTTCTAGTCAAATACACACCTTTATTACAATCTATTAGTCCATTGTGTCCCGTACTAGATTTAATTTCTTCAGAGATAGTGATCACGTCTTACTTATGTCTTTTTATCAGCAGAATCTATCGCAGTTCTTTGTTCTAGAAGGAAGCTTAATGAATGCTTGTGAAATTGTATTGACTGGTAAATTCACTCCTCACTGAGCTGGGCTCTTTCCTGCTTGACCAACGATGGTTTGGTGTGAACAGCTCTGAGGATTTGGAACTGAGAAGTAGAAGTGAACCAGTATTTGGGAATGAGCAGGTTTGGGTAGAATCTGTAAGAGAATAAAAGGAAAGGACTTTGGACACCTACACAAGCATGAAGAATAGACATCTGTCTTCTCTGTGTCTGCCCCACCTGCCACACGGGGGTATTGGGGAATTGCCAGAATCTGCAGGAGTGGCTATTTGGAAGGAAGGAGCTGAGTACTATGGAAGCCCACTCTTTCCCATTTAAATCTCTCTTCGTCAGGCTTGATTTGTCTGATCCCTGACATCTTTTCCCTTCTAATCAGACCTGTGAAGAAAATCCTTGTGCTCTCTGCTTTGCACCTAAACATTTTAGACATTTTATGCATGAAGATAACCACAAGGTTATCTACATACCACACTTGATATATATTGAATGCTTGTACTTTAAAATACTTTAAAATAAATAATGCACTAATGCCTATTTCAATATACGCAGCTTTTACCATATTTTATTCTAAAATCAAATAATTAACTTTTAATATTTTGTAAAATGAAGTCACACACAGCTGTGTGTACATACACATCAAACACACACATGCATACTTGTACACATACACACATACCTACACAGGTCTAAAAAAAAAAACCAACTAACTTTGCATTTGACTTTCTTGTTCAAGCACCAACGATCACATGAAGATCCAGCTGCCCTGAGGTTTAATTTCTATGAAGTTATCACAACAGGACACTGGGCCCCATCTGACTTAAAAACTTTGCAGAGACGATGCCTGGTGCCTGGATGGTATGCAGTCCACATAGAAAGATGGCTCACTTACTTTGCCACTTCTCAGGTAACGTCCTGAAATTAATTTTTGCTGTTTATTATATCATAATTATGTTGTGCTGACAAACAGAAAGTGCGAATTAACATTGCCACCGATGACAATTTACAATCAGAGACAATGATAAATAAGGAAGAAATGTGAATTCTTAATTTTTAATTTTATTAATACTATGAACATTTTGTTAAAGAGCTCTGAAATGCATGGAAAATTGGGTTTCTACTGAAGTAATAAATTAAGAAAGTATCTATGTGTATTTCCGATTTACAATAAAGTAAGATAAGGGCTGTAAATTGACAGTTCATAAGAAATTATGCCTATGGCAAACTTTATTATGGTTTTGGAAGGACGTGAGAATAGTAAACATTTAAATGTACTCTGAGCAGTGCATATTTTCTTCCTATTCACAGTGACCTAATTTATGAATGCCCTACCAGGTCAAGGCAGGCAGCTCAGTCCATTCAATTTTGTTTTGTTCTTCATAAAGTGGCTATTTTTGACTTTACAGTTGCTAATTATTGATGGACAGCAGCTGAGATCTGACCCGGCTACTGTGATGGATGAAGTCCAGAAGTTTCTGGGAGTTACACCTCATTATAATTACTCTGAAGCACTAACGTGAGTCTATTCTCATGCTTAAATTCACTTCCATTATTTACCATCATAAATTATCACTGGTAGATGTGTCTACAACATCATTAACACCAGCTATGAATTTACATATCACTTTATAACTTGAAGCAGTCAGATGAATATCCTCATTACTCATGCAGTGTCTCTCTTTTGAATACCAGGAATACTTTATCTTACAAAGTACAACTTATATTATGACACATTCTTATTTTTATGAGCTTTACCAATATCATTTTTGGTTAAGCAAACATTTTACATGCCTACTCTGTGCAGAAAATGTCCTAGAAATTTAGGTTGCAAAAGTGAAAAAGATATAGTCTCCTCCTCCAAGTAACTCACAGGTTAGAAATGAAATGCTGGTGGCCATCAATCCCTCTGTGAAAGTGAGCAATATTGAGAGCAGAGTTGAAAAAGGAGTGCATTCATGTTTTATTCTGTATTTATTAAATTATTTATAAACAAATATAATCTTGTATATTTTTCCGGTTATCCATTGTTGCATGATAAGCCATCTCAAAACTTGGTGGCATATAATGACAGTTATTTTATTATGGTCATGGAATCTGTGGGTTGGGAACTAGATAAGACAAAGCTAGGATGGTTTGTTTTTGCTCATGAAAACTGGGGCTACAGCTGGGAAGACTTGAATAGTTGGGTAGGACTTCAGTGGGTTGAAGACATTCCTTTTCAGGTGGCTTGGCTTTTTTACAGGGTAGTGGCTGTGTTCCACTAAGGGACAGTAAGTCCAGGGAGCACGTGGTCCAAGAGAACCACAAGCCTTCTCTGACCCAGACCTGCAAGTCACACAGCATTGCTACGTGGTTACGATATTTGTTACGATAGTCACAACAACCTGTCCCAGTGCAAGGAGAGAGAAATAAAAATACACCTCTTAATGGGGATGGGAAGGAAGTCATTCAGTAGAAGAGAATGTAGAATAAGAGGTACTAGTGCAGTCATCTTGGGAAAATAAAATCATATATTTCAATAATTAAAAATGGAGGAAAAATGTAAAGAGGCAAAATAACAAAAACAAAACCTCCAAGCAGCCAAAATACACCTTAAAAGGGCATGCACCTTACTTACAAAAGACTCCCTCGCAAGGTCTGATATACGGCATATTGAATGTTAGACAAAATTCTAAGAAGCCTGGTTATATAATTTCCCAGTTCATAGCAGATTACAATTAGCAATTAGACAGTTAGTGGGTATAACTGAGGGAAAGGAAAAGCAGGAACAAGATTGGGTTGTTCCTTAGCCACTAAAACAACCCTAATGAAGTTTTTATCTACATGGAACTAACAGTAAAGTAGACAAAACTTCCTATAATGCATTTCTTATTCATAGTTATTGATGTTGGCATATCTTCCCCTTCTCTCAGAAGTAGTTTAGGTAATGTTTCCATCCTGTTAACTAAAAATAATTGTATATAGTTCCATAAACATGTGAAATCATACTTTTGAAGGAGAGATTACAGACAAGTACAAAATAATGGTTTTTAATATGTCTCACACATCACAAAAATTAATAACTATAGTGATGTTCAGTAGAATAAAAAACTTGAATGGCCATCAACTCATGTCCTCAATGTCGTCTGACAGTTCTATTGAGAAATACTTTGAATTTTCATATAACAATTTCATCCATACTAAAATAAAATCATAAAATAATAAATTGATATAACCTCAAGAGGATAAATGCCCTTTGTTAGAGTTAGGTATATAAAGTCGCCAATGCAATAAATGAAACCAGGACAGCAAAATAATGTGGATTCAAGGTTATGACAACCCTATCTTAAAAAAAAAATGGCTTTATTATTCTAGATGGCTCTCCTTTCTCAGACTGTATTGAGCTCCGTCTCACAACAGCCACTGTGGAGAGCAAGGAGAGACCACAGCCCATCCCAAGACCTCTTCAGTACCCGAGAACAGAGGAGATGCTCTCAGTGTGTGTATAAATATCTTGGCTTTGTTACCAGGGCTGTATTTTACCTTAATGCAGTTAAATATTCTCATCCTGAGGCAGAAAATGATGTTTTAGGGCACTGTTATGTCGACTTCCTCCTCTCATTTTACACAGCATGTGGAATTGTTTTTCCTCTTGGGAAATTAATGGAAACTAGAGAAAGAACTGAGATATAGGCCAGGTGCAGATTGAAAAGTCCAGGCTGGAAACGACTGTGTCTTCCTTTTATCCATTTAACTACTGATGTATTTAATTTTAATGGATAACATGTACTAGGGCAACTTGGATTGCAAAGATCAGGTCTCTAATAATAGGTTGGGCAGGGAACTGTGAAGGAAACTTCCCTCTCCCCCTAAATGAATTCACATACGTGCAGAGGCAAATTGCAGGAGCGCTGGTGTTATAGGAATGGGCCCAGGGCAACAAAATATTCTGCAGCTAATTAACTTTACATCCCAGTCAATTATGCTTCATCCTTCTAAAACATCTGCTGAGCGACAAAAATGCAAACCTTTTCGATATTTTATGCATGCAGCAAGTCCCATAGCAATAAATTTAAATTTTCCCATCTTATTTGGTTCATTCTTTCATTTTTCCTATCTTGTTAGTCCTAAACAAAAATTCTTATATATTTGGTTTTAAACAAAATAATTAGGATACACATCCTTTCTTTTGTAATTCAGTACAGCCATGGGAGCAAAACAACATTAGAATTTTCTTCAAGGGTATGGCAACCTGTTGGATAATCTGCCTTGAACAAAAGAAATAAGGAATTGTCTAATCTTCCCCTTTATTTTTACATTATTAATTTCCTTTTTGAGAAGTGTAAACATTTTAACTATAAAAATACAGTGGTTTTCCAAATTGGAAGGTTCAGTTCATGTCTATATTCAGAGAAGTATACCTATATTATATTTATCCCCTTGAATATATACCATTGAATGATTTCAAATAAATCTGTTAACATATTTTGACTGGGAAATCACATTCATAAATAAATAAAAGAGCCTAAAGGTTCTTTATATATGAGTTGTAATTTTATGATTGGTCCTTGATCTTATGGATCCATAGGTCAAATAATTTCCACATAAAATTGGACTAAAGAGCTATATACATTTGTTCATTATAGTAAAACTATTTAAAAGACATAACAGATAGTTTACTTCATTTCAATTAGCCTTTCTTGATCAGGTGAATAAATATATGTAGAAATGAATTGAATTAAATCAAATCAATGGGCATACAAAAGCACATTTCTTTTATCCAACTGGTGAGGTTCTCACTGAAAATTCCGTACACAATGCATAATCCTTAAATGTTCATATGTTGTAGGTTCGACCCCCAAAAGGGTTTTTGGTGTCAACTACTGGAAGGAGGAAAGACCAAATGCCTTGGAAAAAGCAAAGGCCGAAAATATCCCCCCATGGATCCAGAGGTAATACTTTCTTAATCTTTGAATTATTTTGGCAAAAATCTGTGCATACAGCTATTTCAGAACTAGTAATAAGAAATTTGCTTCCTTTTTCTGCTCTTTCTTTGCAATTAATAGTTTATATATTTAGAAGATGCTAGAGATGATAGATAAAGGATTAATATATATACTTATATACTTAATGTTTGAATGCAATTCAAACATACATACTTACTGAAAAGTATCTCCTTTCCAAATATGTAAAGCACTTAAATAAATTTACTTTTTAATATTTCTTACATTTCTAGTCAAGCTGGAGCGATTGGCCCTTATTAAATAGTTAAAAATTACAAAATATATCCACAGTTTTCATGCAATGTTTTTCTTTTATTTACACAGATTTGGGGAAAACAAAATTTATAATTGGCCTTTCTGTCTGGATGTCACTTACCTCATATTATAACCTAATTAGCATAGTTTTGTCTCTTTGATACAATCAGAGATGAGCACTTTTCCTTGTCAGATAAGCAAGTGAAATACGTGTATACTAAACAAGTGATTTTGGATAAAATATTGAAGTATTATTCTCTTGTATTCCATCCCTATGTTGAATGCCTGCACTGTGCAGGTGTGGAACTGAGCTAAGCATTGGAGGGGATTCATGGATACAGCAGTTATGAGCCCAGATTTCTTACAGGGTGGACAAATTAGTTATGGTCACTGATTTATAATAGGATATGTGAAACAATGACAAACTGCACAAAGGCAGGAAAATCTCTCACTAGAAGTGAGGATACGAGGAGAAATGCCTTATGTGGCAGACTAAGCTGGGAAACCAGCCAGCCACGGGCTCAACCAGGTATCATAAGCATTTCTGTCACGGCAGGGTGGGCAAAGGGCCGACGCAAGTGACTCATGCGTTACTATGGAAATAGACATACTAGAAGGTCCTTAAACTACACCTTTGAACTCGATAATTTCAAAAGGGTTTCAGAAATCACTTTAATCTGCCAAGAAATCAATGTAATGTTCCCACCACTACTATAAACATCTTATACCAAATTTGAAGTGTTTACAATCTGGTTTAAGGGAAAAAACATAATGAAATACCCGGTGAATGGTCTACAATGAAATGTTGTTGTCTTAAATCCATTTCCACAGTATACACAAAAGTTGCTAAGGGAGTTTTATGAAGAAAGAGACCCATCTGTGTTAAAATGATGGGGAGGGCATAAGCAAGATGGGGGAACTCTGGCCAGATGGAAACAATGTTTGAGCCGCTGCTACCTGTATGTGCACAAGGACAATTTTCCCCTCTAATGTTATCAAAGAGATGCGACTATGTTAACTGGGTATTATATAATATGAGGTCAGTGACATCCAGGGAGAAAGCCCAGTTATAAATTTTCTGTTTTCTCAAAATCAGTGTAAGTAAAAGATAAACATTAGACTAAAACCATCAATATATTTTATAATTTTTCAAGCACTTGTCTACTAAGGGCCAATCTCTCCAGAGATTAGCCCTTGACTTAGAAGATTGACTTAGAAGAAGTGTAAGAAATATAAAAGAGATCAAGCTTCAGAGACCTCATAAGATTTTGGAAGCAGAAAGCTCTTAATGATTTTTAAACAATCTGTTTTGGCCCTAAATAAATATAGAAAATTTTTATGGAACATTGTAAGTTATTTTTTATAATCATGAATTTCAGTTGTTATGATTATTTATGTTTACTTTTAATTTTTATCCTCTGGACCAATGTTAGAGGAAATGCATGTGTGCACGTTTATCGAGCTCGCTTCTGTAAATCCAGTTTCCCCTGAGTCCCCTACCTTATTCTTCCTCAGTTTTATACTCCTGCTATCATTTCTTCTTTCTGTGTAGACTTCATAAACCTCACAATAAATATGTGCTGTAATGGTAGATAAGCCACATGGGGCATACCTGGACCTATTTTTCTTTTATAGCTACACTTTTGACAAATCTCTTTAAAAGGTAAAAATAAGGGCTACCTGAGGAAAAGTACAAAAATAAATAAATATTTTGTAGGTACCCATATTGCAATGGAAATCCTTAAGAAAGGTAGATTATGGAATCCTGTTGTATGAATGAATAACTTCTTTCAAGTATTCTTTCTCTTTTTGCTTTCCAGTCTAGAACGTTCCTCTCTAATTACTACCGTGATCACAATGTGGAACTGTCGAAACTGCTGCACAGGCTGGGGCAGCCTCTGCCGTCCTGGTTGAGGCAGGAGCTGCAGAAAGTGAGATAGCACTGGGAACAGGAAACACGGCTCTCAAGAAACCTGCTTTTACTATTAAATAGAAAAGAAAAAAAAAAACAAACCCCACGACTTTTATTCCCTTAATGCCCTTGAAATTGTCAACAGAGAACTGTATGAATAAATTTCCTTCAATCTTTTTCATAAGATGAAAACTGTTATATATGCACGTAGTGACAATGACTCACCTCAATCCCTGTATAAGCTTTTGGGAAATAATTGGGGTTTTGTGGCATTATCCAGTTTCTAGTGTGGAGATTATAACACAGCCTAGTTCCTCTGTTAACCACAAGCTTTCAGAAACTCTATGTATGACTGGTAACCCAGATTATATGCAAGTAACCAATTAAAATTTTGAGGAAAATATAAAGACTGAGGTATCTGTCAATAAGGTTAGTAGTAATCCAATATCTGAATTAAGGGCTAATAGTTTCCCCTTGCAAATTTAAAGACAATTTTGCTTTTATTGTGAAACGAAATTATATAATCCCATACTCTTTTTTTGAACAATTATCCTGTATTCTATTTAGCCCACATACATTTTCTTTTATAGTTACTTCTCTATGAATTTCCTTAACTTGCTAAAGAAGTTTTAATACTATAACTAACCTCCTATGTTTTTTTGTCTGTCTTCCTCTTGTAAGAGGGGACTATCTGAAAGTTTTTCAGATATTCATCAATATTACCATTTTATCTGGCAGGGTATGCCATTCTCACTGAATTTGGTGTTATGGTTCCAACAAAATCTATTAGAGTTTTGGGAAAAGGGAGAAGAGTGTGTACCTGCATAATGTCACTCTATGTGTAAGGCCATCTTTAAGTGGGTCCGAAATCTTACAATACTATTAATCTAGGTATTTCCACCTTGACAATAATGTGGCATTTATATTTTTTTCACTGAGGTAGAAAAAAAGACTTTATTGAAAAATATCGAATGAAAACACCATGATGTATTTGCAAATACAGTGAGGCACTGTACCTTCTATGTAGTATATGCCAATCTTTTTAAAGCATGAATTTTTCATATATGCCAGTACATCTACTTACTATTGTAGAAGATTAGGGTTTTCATGCATATTTAAAAAAAATAAATATAATCTAAAACTTACATCTTCAAACATCACTAAATTTCTAACCTAAACCCAATCTCTCAACCATGTCACCCAATATTAATTTCTAGAGAAGTGATGTTCTTTCTGTTTTATTTGGTGGTTATTATCATGCTAGTTGGATTTTTATCTCATTTATCAATGATGATATAGTAAGGCTTAGTGAAACCTTTTTAGTGATACATTGAGGTAAAATTTCAATGGAACTATAAATCAAACTGCCTTTGGTAACATTATGCATTCTTCCTCCAGAATAATGTTTTTGCAGGCTGTAGATAATACTACTTTTTCCTATAATTTGACAAATTATGTTTGCAATAATTCAATAGCAAACTAAAGATTTTTGCTGTTTTGGTTTTTTTGGGTTTTTTTGGTAGTGGTTGTTATTTTAAGTGAGTAAATCAAATTTGGGTATTCTAGAAGAGAATTAGTATTTTGGCATATTTTATTTCGGAATACAACATTGCATTTATAATTCATTAAGATTTTGTTTGTTTTCATGTTGTTTTCTCAGTATACCAAGAGGCTCTTGATCCTTTTCAAAAAGCATAAGATTTTTCTTGGATATGAGTTAATGTAAATCACAATTACTCTTATGGTTTCTCTATAAACTGTGAGGCTCAAATTCTTAACCTTGAGAGCATGTGCTTCATAGCATTTCATGAAGCATACTCAACTCACAGTAATTGTGTATTTAGAGCTCTAACATTTGATTGATTTGTTCACTAGTCTCTTTTAGTTTATATTCTAATTCTTTCTTTTTTAAAATATAGATTAACATTTTTTAATTGGGAAAAAAGTAATATTTATAAAATGAAGGGAAAATAGTTTTTATATCAAGTAAAATTTAAATAACTCAAGGTTCTCCAACTAATCACCAGATGTTTAAAACTGTACTCATTTTCTCCATTTTCCTAATTTTTTCCAAATAATGTATACAGTATATCTGTCTACAGGTAGATCAGTTACCTGTCTACAGTTATAGACTAGTTTTTTCTCTTTGGTTATTTCAATCAGTGCATATATTTTCCTTGTTAAGTTTGATATTGAAGACAACGAAATAAATTTTAACTTTATAATTCATATTTATCTTACAATACACGACTTAGAAGGACTCTAGGCTGTGAGAAGATTATGATAAGTCACAAAAAAATTTAAATTTTAAATATACGTTGCTTTTCCCAATTTTTGCCCAGTAAATGCTTCAGAAATATTGACTAAAGATTTAGCATCTGTAATTCTTTAAAATTTTAAAGAAATTATATGATATGGTCTTGAATAATACACTTTTTTAACAGTCACGAATTTTATTTAAATTATTCATATATAAAAGTGATTACAATGCAGTTAGAGAAATGGAAAATTTAACTTCATAGGCTAAATTTAGGCAGTTTTCTTACAATTTAAAACGTTTTTTTCCAATGAATCTGAGGCATCACAATCTGTAGATAAAGTAATTAAATAGAGTAGTAAATGAATCTCCCAAACAATATGCCAAATGAACTTTCAGTGGTAGCCATCCAATAGTCTGTATGAACAAAGGGACAATGTTGACATAAAAGCCACAGTGAAGGCAGCCTCGTGGGTCATAAAGCAATGAAAGTTTCTTAATAACTATTTCCGAAAAGAATACTTCATTGTCATAAAATAACAACTACCTTAGAATCCTGTATGCCCACTTCACCATCTTGAATGACATACACTTTTTGAATTTTAAAGAACTTCCTAAAACCTTTAAGCAAGCTAGTTTCTTCTCTTTTTCCCTCCTTTTCTTTACTCTAGTTGTCTAACTCAAAAATATAATTACTGATCACCACACACTGATAAAGGCAGAAACAATATTTGTTCCTAAATCTTTATCGAAACATGCGTGTTTTTCCAGGAATGGTCTCTAAAAATTATTTTACAAAACTCATCCAAAACCAAATTTTGCTTGTATTTAACAATGGCCCAAAGAGAATTAAATAAGCAACAAGGAAAACTGCCAGTGAGAAAAAATTATACCCTTTTTATTACTATTATCTTAAAAAAATAGATTTCAGTCCAATAGGGGATTTTATTTCTTTCCATTTTAAGAAAACCGTCTGACATTTACCCTATGGAATTTTTTTTTGTTCTTCTATCTCACTGTTTTAATATGGTATAATGTGATACCTTTATCATGAGTACTGATTTATTTTTAATCACAGAAAACACAAAGAATTTATAGTGGAATGATATCTTAAAAGCTCTGTTTCTGGTGGCTAGAAAACATATTAATAATTTATTTGATGGAGGTACCTCAAAAATAATGCTGGCCAATGATTTCAGAAAGAAATCTAGTAGTCCTGCAAATAGGATTTTCTCTCAACTATAGGAACCAAGCTTAACCATGGATATATATTATGTGTATATGTACACACATACCCAATATATGTGTATAGATGCAAATTATATGCATTTATGTGGTATCTGAGAATCTTTAACTAGTTTTTGATCATACAAATTATATTTTCTGTGTCAGCCAGTAAGGTGGGTGGGAAAAGCAGAGAGAGAACTCCATATTTACTGAAATTGTTAAAATAACATGTAGTATATGTATACCATATCATTCATTGGTTCTCACTTCTTCAGAATAAATACTGCTGCTGGTCTGGCCACTAGAGTCATGTTGTTTCTCCTCTAAAATCCAAAGTTTTCATAGATAGGTGATTCTTCTCCCTTTTCTTTATCTTTGCTCACTGTATACTTAGTCCCTGAATGCCAAACGTATCACTATAACCATAAGGTTTAGAGAATGGGCTTTGGATATCCAAGTTCTCTTCCCAGTTCTACCTCTCACGAGCTGTATGGCCTTGCACAATTTATGGAACCTCCCCAAACCTCAGTTTCCTTTTCTGTAAATTAGAGACAATAAAATAATTGTTCATTGAGTTTTTGTAGGCACTGAGAATATACTCAAATAATTTAGCACAATGCCTGATGTAGTTGTGTGGAAGTATGTTAATTACAGAAATACTGTATAATATTCAAACCTCTCTTTTCATGTATCAAGCAAGAATATGTTTTTTCTGCTCCCTTCAATAATAAAACATATATATCTTAAACATATAATTATATTTGGTCAAAATGGGAAACTATTTTCCTCACCACAACTCAAAAGTAAATTTTGAACTGCTTTCTGCTGTTATTCTGATATCAATGCTCGAAGCGAAGTAGTTCCATCTCAGTTAATTCTGTCCAAGTCTCTCTATCCCTTTCCTCTATCTACTCCTTTCTCAGGTTATTCAGTAGAATATGTTTCTTATTCCTTCTCTTTACATCTCTCTCTTAAATTTCTTTGCAACCCAATAGATATTATATCAAGAATATCAAATGTAGAGCTAAAACTTCCCCAAACCAAAGTCACAAACTTTCTGGAGGCATATATATTACATGGAGCCATATGGACAATGGAGGTATATATATATATATTACTAATAAGGAATCAGTGCTATCAATCTGTAGATGCTTGAAAATCATAAGAACATTTCTCTAAATTCTCCGAAAGTCTTCTTCCCTGTAAGACTTCCAGCTCCACCTTCTAGTAAGATCTTCTTTCCACAAATAAAAACACTTTACTTACTATATTTAAATATATCTTCTATATTATTTATTCACATCAGACATTGTTAGTGTCTGCATTTTTAAATTGCAAATACACAGTATTTCAGGCCTGAAATAAGAAGTTTATAGAAGTAATTGAGTTCCTTCTAAGAAAATTTACTGTTCTCATATATTTAAAGTCTCAGATATCACCAAAGCCTTCCACATAGTAGATGTTCCCTAGCATTTCATTGAGCTGTACTGGAATGTGTTGAGCAGCGTCAGTTTACTCAATCATTTGCTTTATTTCAATATATATATATAGCATCGACCTTCTCATTTTTCTCTATGTTCTAGTTGTAGAAATTTTTCTCGTAACTTTAGATGCCAGAACTAAACGTCTCCCAAATCTGTACCTTGATCCCCAAACCTGCTTATGAATTCCAGACCTGTTACCCACCTCACATTGCTCCTCATTCAACATCTGCCTGATACCTCAAATGAGAACATCCAAAATTAAACTCTTCCACTTTAGATAAAGTTTCTGCCCCCTATGGATCCTCTTTTCTTATTCATGACCACACCCAGCCAGACCATTCTTTTTAGTCCTAGGAATCTCTCTTTTGGCCAAGTTACAATAAATTTTTTCCTGACTATCTTTTACTAAACAAAGAGTTGCCCAATAGAAATACAATGTAAGTCGCAAATGGAAGCCACATATGTAATTTTCAGTTTTCGAGTAACCACTTTATAAGACTATAAAAAGATAATACTAATTTTAATATTTTATTTCATATATTATATCCAAAATGCTATATCAGGATGCAATCAATTTAAAAATTATTATCGAGATATTTACATTCTTATGCTCACACTGAATCTTTAAAAGATGGTTTGTATTTTGCTCTTACAGCACATAATCTTGACGTGCCACATTTCAAATGTTCAGCAGTCACCTGTGGCTAAAAGCTACTATATTGAACTGCACAGCTTTAACCTCCACTCTCCAAATCCACTTGTTTTGATCTCCTCTTTTCATGCCATTGGTGAGGAAGGGATTCCCACCCTAAGTTTTAAGAGATGGTCAAACACACAGCGCTTAACATGGAGCAGATCAGCAGCGGTTTCTTCCTCCTCTGAACTAACAGAGCATGGAGGAGGACGTCACATGCCACGCAGGCCCACAGGGGGGCTCCACTCGCAGACAGAGTGCATGACCAGGGCTGGGGGAGGGAGGTGTCTGTCCCACAGTTCTCATAGAAGGTTGTGACTGGTTTATTTGGATACTTCTGCAGGCTGGCAGAGAACTAAAACTCACTATTTAGGGATAAGCAGAAACTGCACTTGGTTCTTTTGATCAGGATGATTTTTGGCTAGAAAACCTTATCCACACGAGCAGAGTGGGAGAGGGACTTGTGGGGGGGGGCTTGTCAAGGTCCTTCAAATTTTACCATATGTCATGACAGCACATAACAGTAAGCCTTAATGTTAGGCCTTACATCACACCTCTGACCCCTGTTTTATCACAGGCTCTCATTATCTCTTCTATTGTGACAACCTGTGAACTGTAGCTTTCACTTCTCCCTAAATCATACACTGTACTACTGATGGAATGGTCTGCATAGCTTGTAAATAGGACTATACCCTACCTTGTCTGAAAACCTCCAAGTGTTTGCAAACTCCATAATATATTTTATAAAGTTCTTTATGATCTGAGGTTTTGTCTACCAGAC